TGTAACTGTGAGTATGACAGAAACTACAACCTCTGAAACCTATACAGACATGGGGGACAAGTGCGCTGTCTACAAAAAAGTCTGGGCAACTTTTGAACTGTATTTATTGCATAATTAGCCAAATGGTAAATGGACTGGCTCTTCTATTGTGCTTTTCTATGCAAGCCTCAAGGCACATTATCGATCATGTCTCATCCAGCCATTCACACACACATTTTTTATATTTTAAGTGCTTTCTGTCAACATTCACACACATTTAAACTCCAACGAGCGCATAAGGAGCAACTGGGGGTTCAGTATTTTGCCCAAACATACTTTGACGTGAGCAGCCAGGGATCGAACCACCAATTTTCCAATTAGTAGACGGCCACAGCTACGCCTTACATTGAAGCTTATGCACGAGTTCAGTGCGTATTAGTAAGGTGTGGCTGGTTTCACTCATGTGGCTGGATTCCTGTGTATTGTGTTCATTATACTCATCATATCATACTATTCATTATTTTCCCACACCGCCAACTTTCATTCTGTCATCACCGCTTTGGCCCAATCGTTTTCTGTCTCTGAGCCAGTCAGCTGATGTCCTGTGTACTTTAAATGTCAGTGCTCTTCTGTCACTCTGTGTTTCAGACCACTTTCCTCCTACACCCCTCCACCTCATCCTGGTGAATTATACATCTTCTTCCAAGTCTCCACCAGCTTCACCTTTGCTACTACCACTGTCTAGACTTCTGGTGCTGTCCTGTTTCATACCACTGCTGGACTCCATTCGGCTACATAGCTTCACTGGAGCCTGATAAGTTAGTATAAATAAATTAAGTTGGCATAACTTGTATTTCTTAAATTGACAACACAGAATTTGGATGCTACATTAACATAAAGAGATTTTGTTTCACTCAAGAGATGACAACGAGCTTTCTGAAAGAGAGAAACATCATGCAAAAGATTAAATGGGAGCTTTGCCAAAGTGTTCTTGACTTTTTGGTATAATCCATAATACCAAAAAGTATGAAGCAAGTTCACACATCCATGGATTTTTTAGCTTGTTTTTTGAAATGTGACTTCTTACCTTGAAGCATCAAAGCTGTCATAGGAGCCCACAGTGTAGTGCCTGAAGAGCTTCCGTCTGTCAGCACGGTCTGCTCGGGAATCTGCCAATTTACAGCAGAACAAGATCAATACCCAGATACCAGTCATAGCAGTTTACAAATCAGTGACAGCTGTTAGGAGAGTGGCACTTAAAATATGGCACAATAAGCCCTGCATCCTCTAAAACAACAGCAGAGCAGCAAATATGAATGCAGTCACCTGTATTTGGTTGGAATGTGTGCTTAAAAGAAACATCACACCATCTCGTTCAGTCACATATAAACATGTAAATACAACAAGATGACCCAAAAAAGTTAAATAAGCTCATCTTCATGACAGTTTCATGCACTGATAGAGACACGGGGGTATGTCACAATACTCCAGAGAA